TTTGGCTTCTTTAAAACAGAAAAACAAAACCCCATGTAATGACACAAAAGTTGTATTTACATGTTGCTTTGTTAGCTTTTTTTAAAATGAGAAATATACAGGATGGATAGAGTGTGTGGGGTGGGTGTTTTGTGTGTGTGTGTGTTCACAATAGACTTTTCATGTCTACTATAGAAGCCTCATGGTACTGTAGATAAACTGCAGTACTGCAGTCAAGACTCTGCTCGTGATCTGAGTTTGCACTTGACGGGCTCAGGTAACCAGCTCAAGGTAAACTCAGTCTTCCATCCTTCTGTGGTTGGTAATTTGAGTACCCAGCTCACTGGGGGAGCAACGTCTAGCCTGCATAATTAAATTATAAACTGTCCAGAGAGTGCTTTAAGCACTATTAGCAGAACACTTTTACTATTGATAAGGGGGTATCAATGAGAGTTTCTAAAAGAAAAAATAGTAGTGCACATGTACACATCTTAGCTTGCAAAAGCTAAATAGAGCCCAAAAAAGCCCACAACAACCATCTAAATAGAGTTGTAATGACTGGACCTTCCAGGTCACCACAGGTTGGAAGTGATATAACAGCACATAACTCTGACTCTTTCTATTTCAAACTTCATAAGCAGTGGAAGTTGTTATGTTTTGAGCAATGTAGTATCCTGAACAGTAGAAACCATACAATCATGATGAAAATTAGTGGTGTTGCAGCCATGAGCGTTTGATGATTTAATGATACTGCAACATAAAAAGTGAGAAAAGGTCATTTTTAAGGGTAAAAAGTATTCTTTGTCTTCCTGAGTGTTAATTTCTCTTTCCCCTTGCCTGTTGTTGTTTAGTTGTTTAGTCGTGTCCGACTCTTCGTGACCCCATGGACCAGAGCACGCCAGGCCCTCCTGTCTTCCACTGCCTCCCGGAGCTGGGTTAAATTCGTGTTGGTTCCCCTTTCCGAATAATATGTGAATTCTGGGTTTAACACAAGAAGTCCATGGATCTGCTGCTTCACCCTATTAATATTGATGAGTTCTTCCATTCCACCCTATCGTTGCTTCAGAAATGCACAAATACTCCTGAGTTAGCTCACTTTTATATATTTGTCCCCAAACAATGCATATCCCTTATGTGTTCCATGTATATTAAACAGTAGTCAGGTTTCACTTTTTCCTACTCTTCATTGAAATGAATTACATACTATGCATCCTCACAGTTCTGCCCACTTCATATGACACAGTGATGCATGAGGCACATAAAAGGAAGCAGCCTTCCTTAGCCTGGTACCATCTTATATTTAGCTCTGTAATGCCATAGGCAGCTTTAGAGCTGCAGTCCAATAGAGCTGGATGGTACCATATCTGGATATAAAATGCAAATAACTGCTACCAGTAATCTGAATGTAGTGGCAATAAAAAAAAACTTACTGTGCTTCAGTTTGCTTATTGATGGGATGGGTTTGGGTATGAGGAATGGTGATACTTCATAATAATTATCCAACAGATTTAGGTACTCTTAGGCCTACAAGTTTTACCGATCCTAAGGGTTTTGAACACCATACTTGAATGTGTTCCATTCTACAGACATGGTACTTTTCAAAGAAAACTGGCCTCCTGATCAGACTTTCAAGTGAGTTAACATTATCATGTAAAACAAATTTGAATAAATATTAGCTAATAGTTTGTTCATGATTTTGACTTGAAAAACATAAGTTGTTGATAGAATTCTGGTGCATCATTCACATTACAGTTAGAGCTTCACAAACTACACTGGAAGAGCAGTAAGATTTTAAACTTTATGTGATTTTTGAAAAATGGCACTAGGGCATTTGCATCAGGTAGTGGGAAATGCACTCCTTGTAATGGTACACTTGAAAGACCAGCATGCTTTAGGGTCACAAAGACAAGAGTGCTCATGAGCAACTGTCAGCTGCCTGAACTGTCTAGTTCTCTGAGGGAGTCTTCTGTGACCAGATGAGGAAGAAATGTTTCATTCTCAAGTGGGCATGGGCTCTTTAAAAATGATGAAGAGTGCTCTCATTTGAGTGCTTTAAAGTGCGGCAATTCAAGGCACTATAGAAACCCAGTGTGAATGCACCAAAAAACATTTAGCATTGTTTGATGGTGTTTTCCTTCTACTCTGTGGCAGAAATGGTTAGTTTTTGATGCTGTGTTCTTTAGAGAAGTCTTAGGGATAAAATTCCACATGGGTTACATCATAATCAATTCAATACTTAGTTCATGTCCAAATGAATGAAGGGGGATCCATATTCTCTTAATTCAAGAGATTATGAGAATATATTCATGTCACATATATTTGCTTGGTTAATTAAAGGCTCAGATTTGGAACTGTGTACAGTTAAGTCTTATTCTTGGTAAGTAATTGTTTCATCCATACCAAATGAGAAATTAGGCATAACAATAATCATGGTACCACATGACCACAATTTGATAATTTGGAGGGCAAAATTTTTAAATAACTCTCTTCAAATGCATTATAAAAATCATTCCTGTTTTCATCAATACAGTGTTTCTCATTAAGGCCAGGTTTATTGACTAATAGTGGATGAATAGGTCTGAAATGATGGAAGGTTCTCCCTGCCACAGGAAAAAAATGCTCTATCATTACAAAGTGAGCACAAGAGAATTGGTCAATATATCTTTCTCGCTCAGCCATTATTAAATGTGCCTATTCCTCAGGACGTTGCATCTGTTCACTCAGACTCCTAACCCAGGAACCTAAAGACTTCAGAACCCCTTTTCTACTGTTCTGCAGTGCCTCAGCCCAATGTCCTTCACAACAAATGGATGTGTGCCAGTGGATATCTGGAGCCTGTACTGGGGCAATGTATGTGTGGAGCTCTGCTTAGATAGGAGCTCCTGATTTATGAGAGGGAAGTGCCATGGACTTGGTTTCAAGTGAGGCTTTTAGGACTATTAAAGAGGAAGGTATTGGGAGCTGTGGCTGGGAAGAAAGTTTTCAAAAAATTTGGTCTAGAGATGGACACACAATGTTGCTAAATAGAGTGATAAATTATAGGATTGGAAACCTTCACTCCTCCAAATGCTTTGGACTAGGCATGTTGACTGAAGCTTTTGGGAGCAGAAGTTCAAAATATCTGGAGGGCCAAAGGCAGTCATGTTGACTTAGCATGGTCATGTTTGGCTGAGGCTTTGAGGAGTAGAATTTTGAAGTATTTGGGAAGCCAAACATTTCCCAATTCTGGCATACTGTATGTGTAACAATAAATTCAAAATACAGATAGAGACTTCAGACTGTTCATCTGTTTGTCAAACACAAACGAGTGTTTTTAGTCCAAAAAATTCTCACCTATCTTGTCAATAACTTCATCTTCTAGAAAGTGGAAGATACATGGAAAAGAATGACTACTGTGGACCTAATGGACATCAGCAAGGTAGAGGTCCATATATATATTTTATATATGTATCGAAAACTTTGAATTACCTTTCATGCCTCTGATGGTGACTATAATGTGTAGAAGTTCAGGCTGCAATGGATTTGTTAAATCTTCCACTGGATACTTTGTTATTTCTGAGAAACCTTTCTGAGAATATTTTACTGTTATGGAAAAGTACAGTCCTTAATATTTCATTTGCCATTCATATAATGGGTGTGTGGCTTGCAGGAGACTATTTGAGGCATGGTGTTTGTTAACTCACCACCTTACAGGTGAAATCAACAACCAGCGTCAAGCCCTCATGCTTCATCTGCCATTTTGTAATATGCAAACGTACAGACTCCCTCTTTAGTGCTCCAGGGTAGATCCTGATAACTTTAGTTAATTGTTTCATAAACTGTGACTAACTATTATAGTGTTGGGGATATTCCAATTATCTGATACCCGTTCCCTTTATCTTACAAACTCAGTTGCAAAACATCTTGGAAATTCATGGCATGTACTTTGGAATAAGACAACTTAAGAATATGTCCACATGGTTTCTTTCTCTTTTTTAAAGCAAGCCTAATTTTTGAGCCACTACATATTTACTGTTTTTCTGCATTCATGACAAGAGCGCAAACTGGCACAAAAATACATATGTCCCTCAATGAATTTTTTAAAAAGGTACTTTAAAATTTTTTTTGGAAATTTGCCATATACTGTGTTTGTGACTAGGAGTGTTAAGAATGAATACCCAGAAACCCAATGCATCTATCCTACTGCATGATGATCTACCATCCTGCACAACAGCCAGAAAGACACAGACTTTGCTTTCTAAGAATTGAAAATGGACTACAGTGCATCTAGTATTTGATCCTGTATCAGCAAGTTTGCTATGCAAGGATATTTATTTTATTTTATTTTATTTGTTTGATTTATATCTGTATCTGTAGTGAAGCAATATCTGGAGGGTGCTCTGGCTGTGGGTCCATGAAGAAAATGGCAGATGAAGGGCTATGCAGTTTTAACTACTACTTTATATATTTACTCCTTCTTAGACCAACATGAAAAGGAATGTTTCAAAGCTGTACTTCCAAAGTTGACAAATTAACTGAACAAAAGTACTTAGGGGCAGGACGGGAAAGCACAAAAAATGGAGTTAATGTTAATAATGGTCTATTTTTGCTTTTCTTTCCCACACTCTCCTGGTCATGATCTAGTCAGCAGCACTATCACATTGCACAGCCTGGCTTCTAATCAACTTCTTACGTCTGGTTCATTTACATCAGAATGGAATGCAGAAACAGTTTCCTTTTTTCCATAGGCAGCCTGTGGCCTAAGCAAAGAGAGAGGCTACGGTGCCAATTTGTGGTGAAAAACCCCTCTCTGTACAGCGGTAGCTTATGGTGTGAGAGCTTCTGCTCTCCTGCCATAAGATGGTCTTGCATGGATGTTTTCCAGATTAAACAATATAGTTCCTAAAATGGATACTCATTCCTAAGAGGAAGAAACTGCTTTGGTTCTTATGATAAAGAAATGGTCTATACCAAATTTGATGAGATGGGCTGAATTCTAGTGAGTTCTTCTTTAGGTCTCTGAAGAAATCCTAAAGGGTGGGCTGAATTCTAGTGAGTTCTTTAGGTCTCTGAAGAAATCCTAAAGGAAAAATAATAAAAGACGTGCAGTGCAATCCTATGCATGCTTACTCATAAGTTAAGTCCAACCATATTTGTCTGGGCTTTCTAGCAAGTATGTTCAGGAGTACAGCTTTAGGAAAGCCTTCACATGAATAAAGAAATTATAACAGATACAAGAAATTATGTTTAAAGTAAGCATAGGTTAGTTAGCATAGCCTTAACAATCACTCCAAATGTCATCCCATTTGATGTTAATCAGATTTCTGATTATAAAGCAACAGGATTCATGCTGGCGGAATGATGGAAAAGTGAATACTCAGTATTGCTCATAATGAAACCTCTATCTAGGAAAATCATCTAGTTGACAGATTTTTCTTTTCCCCTTTGTATCAATCTTGTATTTTTTCATATCATACATCAATGTATGTAGATCTACTTACCATGCTAGCTTAGTAGTACCTACTACATACCTTTTGCTGAGTAACAGAAACTAAAAAGAATGATGTATGGATGTGGGGACATACATGAAACCGCTGTCAAAACATAGGATCAAAGAAGTAAATTCGTTATTAGCTGAGCAGCAGAAAATAAAATCAAGTTTCAAAATGACAAAATGGTATGACAGCATCCGGTCTCTGCTGCATATCTGTCCATTGACTTTCAAGGGGCAGCATATGCACTTTAATTTATACCATCATTTGCAACTTAGAAAGAATGTTAAATTAGATGCACTATAATTTATACCATCATTTGCAACTCTAAAGAAGAAACACAAATGAGAAACAATCAGAGTGCTGATGTAACTGCCCTACAACATAGGAAGATGGCACATGTTGCTTGTGTGCCTCTTTTACCTCCTTCGTTCTATTCTATCTTGCTGTTGAAACGCTGATTGTCATAAATAATCTTTGTGCTTTTGCATAATGCCCATCTTTGATGTAATGGAAATTCACATACAAAATGTGGACACCTTAGGTAAGCATGCTGGAATACAGGCAGGAACCATATAACCATGCACAAGTATTCTGCAACCCTGCCCCCCCCACAAAAAATTGACATTAACATTTACATGCACCACTTAATATCACATTTGGCTATGGTACATTGGGGGCTGGGCTTTTGTAAGCATTCATGACCTTATTTCTCTTTGTCAGAGTTTTTTTTTCTCCTCTCCACAATTCTGAGGAGACTGGTGCAAAAATATAATATCTCTTTATCTTTTTCCAGTATGAACTGGTCTTCACTGATTTTCCAGTCAAAGTTTCCTGGAGTTTCATATTGTGCTTCTCCTCTTGCACAATCTGGTACTTAGTTTTTGCTAGAAACATGGATTAGTGTACCAGTGATCTTCTCAACCACTGAAATAATTCTTCTTTATAAAGCATTTGCCACCGAACATTTGCTTCCACTGTTTCCACAGCTCGGGAGAATGAGGCGGCAGATCCCTCCTCATAGGTCTTTATAAAGTTCTTTAGCTGGAAATAACAAATTCAGGTATTAATTTGGACTGAATGAAATAAGTTCTCTCAAAGCAGACAAACAGGTCATATGCTAAAAGACAAAACTGGAGAGATTCTGATCAGATTTTGCAGAGATTTATTTTAAAAGAGACAGCAAGGCAACAGACTGCATCAAATTGTGCTGGAAGATATTGACATGCCAGTGCCTGATTATATTAACATCACTTCCTCCATCTCTCCTGCAGCTCAGCTGCTTTATGTTGCAGACAGCTGGGCTCTTATCAAGTTTTACTCCTACATAAGCAACTAAATAGGGAAAATTGGAAACACTCCTAATGTAGCTTTTAGAAGCTACATTAAGCTAAAACACCCAGACTCTTCTCTGAAGTGCCTTAGTTTATCAACTGTTATAAAAGATGTGTTCAATTAGGCTTGAGGAACATATTTAATTCTTTACTGTAAATGGCTGGGTATTTATGCACAAGTCTGAGAGGTTGCTTGACACTGTTACAAGCACTATCAGGAGAAGCAACTATTCTTAGATGTTTTAATCATACCCAGATTCACTCTGTGAAGCATACTTACTTTAGAATATGTTCCTACAGAACTTGGTGGGTTGAACTTTGACTATCAAAACCTTTGAAACTGAACAAAATTTCTTTACACTCTTGTGCATCCATTCTATAAACTTGTCATTATTAGGTGTAGAAAATATTTAATAATACAAATATGCAACATTGCAGGGTAAGATGTACAACCTTGTTGCTTTTAGGTATCAAAGATTGTAAAATATCTGAAAGAATGGAATCTGCATAATAGTTACCTCATTTAGTTCACTTTCTGTATTAAGGAATTCTGTAACTCCACTGATAAGTTTTGAATTCATAAATAATGCTTCTCCATATCTGCAAGAGCAGGTTGGAAACACAAATGTGGAACATAGTGAGTGACAATATCTTTGATTATGCAAAACTGAAATACTTTTATTACACCAATGTTAACAAGTACAAGTTTCTTTCCTAGAATTTTTGGCCTATAAATTCTATCTAATTTATAAAAAGCAGAAAGCAGATCACCAAAAGGATAGGTATATGAATAAAAATTGAAATTAACTTTGTATAACATTTCCTTTTTTTTCAGCATTTTTTAAAAAATAGTTCCTGTTGTTTAAGTGACTTCATTATAGAAAAATGCTAATTAAAATCTATGAAGTGGGAAGAACTCAGTCTCCCTATGGCCTACTGGATCTAGAACCTGCTCAAAAATGAAAGGATTAACAGTGGCCATGTGATACTCATACCAAAAAACATCCAGGTAAGGTGTTACCACTTTATATAATGTCTGATTTATTTTTCCTATTCTTATTCTTGATACCAAGTCAGAGCATTGGTCTATCAATTTTAGTATTTCCTATACTGACTGATAAGCAGCAGGAGCTTCTCCCATCCCTTCTTGCGTCTACCTGGGACTGAAGATGGGACACTCTGCATTCAAACATTCTCTACCAAGAGCTAGCTTTTCATTATGCCTTTATTATACCCAGACAAGACGGAGGTCCTGAGGGTGGGCGGACCTACCATCAGCAGTTTGGAAAACTCCCTCTCTTTTTGGGGGGGTGACTCTCACCGCAAAGATTGAGGTTTGCAGCTTGGGGATCCATCTGGACCAGGCGCTTACCATGGAATCCCAGGTGGCGTCCGTGGTCTGATCCGCCTATTTCCATCTGTGATGGATTGCCCAGCTGCATCCCTATCTAGATGCGGGGTCGCTCACCACTCTGGTCCATGCACTTGTAATCTTCAGCATAGATCACTGTAATGCTCTCTACATGGGGATACCTTTGAGATCAATACGGAAACTCCAAACGGTGCAGAATGCGGCAGCCATCATCATATCTCCCCCACCCTGGCCACCTTTCATTGGCTGCCCGTTTGGTTCCACATTGATTTCAAAGTTTTAATGATTATGTATAAAGCCCTAAATGCCTCCTCCCACCCAAATCTACTCGTATCACTCGCTAATTATTATGTATAAAGCCCTAAATGGTTTAGGGCCTTGATATCTGATGGAACGCCTCCTCCCACCCAAATCTACTCGTATCACTCGATCTAGCCAGGAGGAGCCTAACACCGAGGAGGCCCGGAAGGAAAAAAACAAAAAACAAGAAACCAGGCCTTCTCGGCAGTGGCTCCTCGCCTTTGGAATAGCCTCCCTTCTGAGATTTGTATGGCCCCTTCACTGGGCATTTTCAAAAGCCAACTGAAAACCTTAGGCAAGCCTTCCCTCCAGCCACCTCTTGATTTATTTTGTTTTTCGCATCTTGAGTCCTTGTCTAGTGTTGTATTGCTTGTTCTATATTTTAAGTGGTTTATTTTATATGTTGTTAGCCGCCCTGAGTAGTCAGTTGACTAAATGGGCGGGTTATAAATAAATAAATAAATAAATAAATAAACTATACATCGTAGGATTCCATAGAATGGAAGCCATGACAATTGAAGTTCCAGATATGACCATTCCTAACAAAGCTTAGCAGAGCCCTGTTCTTACCCCAGCCCTTGGCATGCGCACAGACACTGAAGCAGACTTTTATGGGTAACGTGTGGCCTCCTATATCCCCATGCAATCTGCCCCACCCCATAGTTAAGGAACATATTTATTTATTTATTTATTTATTTATTTATTTATTTATTTATTTATTTATTTATTTATTTATTCATTCATTCATTTTCATTCATTCATTCATTCATTCATTCATTCATTCATTCATTCATTCATTCATTCATTTATTCATTCATTTTATTTAAATATTTCTATACTGCCTTTCTCCCCGAAAGGACTCAAGGTGGCTTACATCATTGAAGCAGTATTTAAATACTAAAAACAGTAATTATACAAATATTTAAAAAGAATTAAACAAGTATTATATTAAAATGGTAACTAAGATAAATATTAAATCACATTTAAAACAACGGAGTACATGTTTGAAGTTCAAAGGCCTCCCATTTGCTGGACGTAATGAATACTTATGCAGGTGTGTGAAAGAAGGATGGGAGCATGGCACTGTTACCTCTAGTGGAGAACCCTTTGCATGTGTGTGTTGAAAATGGGAAGCCTTTGAGCAAACAGAAGCCATCTGAGCATCAAGTTTAAGTTATTTAACTGGGAGGGAGCAGACTGAATGAAGATATGGAATATTTGTTCAGACAGAGTCAAAGATCATGGCCTTGGTTATTCAGAATTTGCCATTTCTCTTTTATGTTACCTATTACACACACATTTTCCCCCTCTGTCTTCCCCATGGGAGTTGTACATTGATTAAATGTTAAAATCTATTTTCTGTCTGACCTTGTTAAAATGAAACATTTTAGTTACAAACTTTTGACAGTCTGTTTATTAGTTTCGCAAGATAACTGGGATGGAAAGAACTCTTAAAATCAATCAGATCCTCTGGTTATTATGGTAAAATTTGGAATGGGTGTTTCCCCCACCAACAAAGCAAAGAAAAACAAAACAAAACAAACTATTAAAAAAAAACCATGTCAGCAATTAATAGAATTTAGTTTGGTTTATTATTGTAAGATTGAAGTAGATAGCTCATAACTTTTAAAAACTAAAATAAAGCACTCTGATATTGAAAAACTCAAATGAGTAGCTCAATTCAGATTACTCTCCAAATTCTGTTTTAGAGCACTGTGAAGAAGCTACTGCAAGAGTTAAACTTAAGAGGATCCTTCCTTTCCTCCCCAATTCTTTGCTAGCAAGAAGAGGAAATCATGTTTCATATGAATACTAGTTTCATCCTACTATGGCTAGTTATAGCATTTACAAATCATACCTGACAATCAAACCAAAGCTTGCTAAAAAAAAAAATCTACTCCTTGAGTATAATAAATCTGTAATAAAGTTCTGATCACAGAATATGCCTCTACCTAATGTATGGATATCCTTTCTCACCCCCCACACCAGATCTCACTTCATTCAACAGGGTATTTGATGGTCTCTTTAGAATGTTAAAGTTAGAAAGACGGCCATGAGATTGGGTGGGGTAGTTTGCTACTTCCTGTTTAGTGGCACCTGCCCAGACCTAAATCCCACTGATTAGGTACATTAATTTTAATAATTAGAACTGTAATGCATTTTAACTGTTGTCATAATTATAACTCCCTGTTCATGGTAATGCTATTGTGCTTTGTATTATTGAAACTGGTCCATTACTTGCCTCCCTTTTATGTTTCATAGGCCACCACTGTCTGCAGAAACAAGTAAAGCGCAAATACCAACAAATCCTGAACAACTGCATTAATATTTTGCTCATGCACTGAGGTGTACTGTTCACTTCTTTTCCCCCATGATTCAGCTCTTAGTATTATGTCAGAGAGAAAATGATGGATGATATTGGGGGAAACTGTAGGGAGTTAGATCCAGACCCTTGTCTATTATATCTGTGTATATCTGCATTATGGCACACTAGCTACATTACACAATATAGTGCACTAACAAAGAAACAAATGATTGGATAAGCATCTTTATGAAGCATGAAGAAGGAAACAATTCATCCTAAACATAATTTATTATCTTCACTTGGACCCCATCACCTTTATTAGAAACATTTCCCTTTCTCTCCTATCCTATGCAATTTAAAAACCTGTTTCAGAGGACTGAGAAACCCTCCTCATTATGGTTTTGTTTGTTTGTTTAGGCACTATAGAGAGCTACAAGGGGAAGGGAAGAAAATCCAGCTCCTCTGCCACTGGACCTTGGCCATTCCTAGGAAACGGGAGGAAGTGGACAGAACACAAAATAGAAATGAACTGTGCAGTACTAAGAACAGCAAAAACACTTATCCTTACCTTGCATTCAATATTTTCCATTTTTCTCTAAAAAACTTCCAAGCAAGATCTCTTCCATGTGGATTTCTAGCCACGTGGATAATTACATCAATTGCATCCTGATCCAGGACAACTTCTGAATTGAGAGACAGGTTAAGAAGCCTTGAATAATGGGAGAAGGGAGGGAAAATATTTAGTTTTTTATTAACATAAATATTTCAGTATTATGCTGTTTGATATCTTGGCATTTCCAACAAAGACCAGATGAATGTACTGCTACATAGTAACTGAACTCTTGCACAGCATTCTGTTAGTGTTTGTAATGTACAGAAATCAAACTAGGCACTGAGACTGAAAAAATACATCATATTCTTCTGTTGGCCTGTGTAAGGCCCTTGGTCCTTATCTCTTGTTTGCATTAATTGACAGCAGGACAATTTCCCATGCCTGTCTGCAGATATTTGGAATTGAACATGAGACCCTCTGTATCTATATCATGTGCCTATTTGATTTTAGGCTTCAACTTAAATGCTACTCTGACATCATATTTACTCCCAATGTAAATATTGTTCACAATCATTTTAAGTGCAACTAAAACACAATTGGAAGAAATGCTATGTGAAGGAAAGAAGGAGGAAAGTGAGCCATCCTCACCGATAGAGACACTAAAAGGGAAGATAGAAGTCTGTCTGGTAGAAGAAGGAGAGGGAGGAAAAGGGGAGGAGCTAAAATGTCAGTATGGGAGGAAAGTATAAAAGATCAAGGAGAGAGGAGATTAGTCAGTAGATTTGAGAATGAAGGAGTAGGAGAACACATGGTCTTTTGGAAGACTTTCCTAACCTAAAGATCAGTGGGTTGTTACCGGATCCGGAGGTGAAAGAGAAGGAGAGATGATGTTTGAAACTCAAGAATGGACAGTGATCTAGTCAGTAGATTTGAGAGTGAAGGCGTAGATTCAAAGTATGAAAGAACGCATGGTCTTTTGGAAGAATTTCCTAACCTAAAGGTCGGTGGGTTGTTACCGGACCCGGAGATGAAAGAGAAGGAGAGATGATATTTGAAACTCAAGAATGGACAGTGATTGTTTTCCCACAGGGACAAGGAGGTGGAAGGAGGGTGATCCGGCTGGATCAGAAGCCACCGAAAGAGAGAGACTGGGCTTGACACCCATGTTCTGGTACCATTTGTGAGGTATGGAGTCCCCCTCTGCGGAATCCCATGGATCAGGAGCGTTTTGGTCCAGCCCCTCAGTGAGTTAAAGAGAGAGACTGGGCTTGACACCCATGTTCTGGTACCATTTGTGAGGTATGGAGTTTCCCTCTGCGGAATCCCATGGATCAGGAGTGTTTTGGTACAGCCCCTCAGTGAGTTATCCTAAATTTCAAGAAGAACTATCCTCATCTAGTTATGGACCTTTGCCTGATTTGTCTTGTTTCGATCCAGTTGCGGTGGATTGTTGAAACACTGAGTTAATAAAGTCAAAGTTGTAAACAATACGGACAAGTCTCAGTCGTTATTTCCCGCCAAAGTTGAGGAACTGCCGCAACTTTCAAATGAACTCAATCACATGCTATCCTTGTGATATATTTTTACAGCTTATATCTGAAATGAAGTCCTTGTAACACATTTTTACAGCTTATGTTTCAAAGAGAGAGAGCATGAATATTTGGCAAATATTCTTCGGCAATCAACTAAATATCAACTAAATTAGCATACCTGTTTAACAAATTTCTGTCATCACTACAAGTTAAAGCTTCTAGCAATATTTTCTTCTCTGATACTGCTGTTGTAGAGTGAAATTTCATCCAGATGAACTCCCACACGTCTTCATCCATGAGAGAGACTCCTGTGCAGTAGACGATGTCTCTTACATTTAGTGGTATTCTTTGAAAGTAAACACAAAAATGTATTAATCATAGAATCATGAAGTTGGAAGGGGCCTATAAGGCCACCGAATCCAATTCCCTGCTTAGTGAAGGAATACAAATCAAAGGATATCTGCCAGGTGGTTATTTAAATTTCTCTCAAATGCTTCCAGTTTTGAAGCACTAACCACCTCTCAAGGCAATTGCTTCCATTGCTGTACTGCTCTAACAGTTAGGAAGTTTTTTCGTGACATTCAACTGAAATCTGGCTTCCTGTAACTTGAGCCCATTGTTGCATGTCTTGCACTCAGGGATGACTGAGAACAGACCCTTCCCCTCCTCTGTATGACAGCCTTTCAAGTATTTGAAAAGTGTGATCATATCATATCATTTGAATATATGTTATTCTTCAATCAAAATTATCATGGAGAGTGTGGGAAGAGCCCATCTCCCTGTTGATCCCATTCTGCTGCTTACTGATGCAATTAATAAGCAAGCAGGAATCAGCTCATAGAATTCCTTTACCAATACAGTAAATTTAGATGGTTCACATGACAGTACTGGAAGTACAAGGTGGGACCTTGTCACTGCTACCAGGTAATCCAATGTCCCTATCTGGAATTGGGCTTTAAAGGCCAAAGCAAAGTGGGAGTGCATGGAGGGATAAGCTGTAAACAAGCACAGTTTGTGACACTGTACAACATTATTCTTTATCACTGAGCCTGTCAAAGTCTATAGCCTTTGCTTCTCACTTATTGGCTTTGTGGACCTTCTGCCACATGCAACAGCCTTATCTCTGCCTTGGAACTTAGAATTTTTGAATGTCAGTAAACTAGGATAAGTTAAATAATAAATTAAGAGACAATACTATGTTCTTTCTTTCTTTATTTATTTATTTATTTATTTATTTATTTGATTTGATTTGATTTGATTTGTATCCTGCACATCTGGTCTGGTCGACCACTCTGGGCAGCTTCCAATAAAAGTATTTGTCATGAAACATACAATCAATTAAAACACATACAATAATAGAACAATAAGAAAAGGGGAAAAGAAGAGAGGGAATGTTAAATATTGACAGGAGGGAAGGCCTGAACATATAACCATGTTTTTAATTGACTCTTGAAAGTGCCCAGTGTAGAGGCCGCACGAATCGCCGGAGGAAGGTTATTCCAGAGGTGAGGAGCCACCGCCGAGAAGGCCCGGTTTCGTGTCCTTTCCTTCCGGGCCTCCTGCAGCGTTTGGCTCCTCAGCCTCACCTCCTGGCTCGTGCTGGTGATCCGAGTAGATCCCTAACCTGGATCTATAACCAAAAATGACCAAAGAATCTCACAGAATTATTTACCTTATTTCTATCTATCTGCATTAAAAACTGGAAAAAGTAATTTCCCAGCCAGCATGACCAATGGGAGCTGTAGTCCCAAAAAGTAATTTTTAAAAGTACTGACCTGCACTATAACAGCATAAGTAGATCTAAAATGCCACCATGAACCTGGATTGTATAAGTAGTTAAAATAATAATAGGCTGCTGCCCATCTAAAACTCCTTAATCAGGAAATGATATCAAAGGAAAATCATAGCACTAATTCCAGTCTCAAATACTTACTTTTCTGGAGTAGTTATTTGTTCGTATGAAATGTGCAAGTACATTTTATATTTGGACTACAGTCAGATTTCATTGTTGGAAGACCCACATTATTTCCATTTTTATTAAACTGCTGAACCCTGTTTTTCAAAATGTTTAGGACTGAAATGAGCAGCCAGTTTTTTCATTAGCTTTTGAGTACACAATGACCACTTCATAGTTGGGTACAATAAGCAGAATATGAGTGGAAAGACAGATCACTTCCTACAAGGAGGAAGAGCTGATTATTCCTTGCCTTCAAGTCTGTGTCTATGGAAATTTATCCGGGCAAAATCCAATTAAACAAAACAAAATTTAGTTCCTTATTGTGGCAATAACAAAGTTAGAAAAGTCTGAGTAACATGTAGCTTCAATCAAGGAAGAAATCTTGCACATCAATGGCACTAAGCCCAAGTCAATAGCCTATGCAGTGGTGCCCCGCACAGCGACATTAATCCGTTCCAGGATTAACATCGCTATCCTGATTCGTCGCTATGCCGGGGGGGGGGAACCCATAGGAATGCATTAAACTCCATTTAATAAGTTCCTATTGGGGAAAAACTCACCGGTAAGCGAAGATTCCCCCATCAGGCCACCATTTTTGCTGCCCGGTAAGCGAGGGCAGGGCACGAAAACGCTGCGGGTGGCCATTTTCTGCACCCGGTGGCCATTTTGGAACTGCCGATCAGCTGTTTTCTAAACATCGCAATGTGAAGATCGGTAAGCAAAACGCTTACCGGTCATCGCAATGTGAGGTTTAGCCTATCTAAACATCGCAATGCGATTGCATTAGCGATCGCAAAAAACACATCGTTATGCGGATTTGTCGCTAACTGGTGCGCTCGTTAAGCAAGGCACCACTGTATCCTGTTTTGTTCTGATTTATGAATCACTTCTAATATCAAAACCATACATTCATGTCAAGATCTACTACACATACACTATAAAATGCCTTAAGTATGCCACTGTTGCAGTATAAAAAAACCCTTAAGGACAAGAAAAAAACTATTAAATATACTTAAAAACAAAGCATAAAATAAAAGGTGCACTTGTAATACAAATTACAGCCTTGTACAACACTTCTAAGTGGACATGAAGTAGCAGACCTTTTACCACTTTTAAAGCCCTGCCAGTCAGGATGGGAGTTAATGTGCATATATTCTGTATGTGAGAGGGGGCAGCTATGGCAGGCTTTTTAGCCTAGCAGATTTTATTTTCACAAATAAAATCTGAAGGCAATGGAGAGATGGGAATTAGTTACACCAGCTCTAGACTGGCTTCACGGAAGTACCCAGTTGAATCTCCTCTGGAGGGGATGCAGGAGCTTTGGATTCACCTCTGCTCTAAGAGAAAAGGATCTGTTTCACTTCCTGGCCCCTCCCTGATAACAATTTGATGGGGTTAAAACTGTGCTGCCAGCTGCCATCCTATTCCTGTTTACCTGGGGGGAGTCCCACTGAACTGAGACAACAATTTGATGGGGTTAAAACTGCGCTGCCAGCTGCAATCCTATTCCTGTTTACAGTACCTGGGGGGAGTCCCACTGAACTGAGACAGGAACAGGAGTGAGGTTATTTTAACATTAAAACTTCTGAATACACTGAGTCTGCATTCTTTTTTTAAAGGAAATGCCATGATGAATACTCCAAAAGTGTATGTAAGCATTAACTTTGAAAGCATCATTTTAAATGACTTTTATTTGAATGCTCTTGTGATATATTTGACTGTATTTATCTCGCTTCGAAGACATGGTGAGGATAAAATATGTGGCTAACATAGCTGGTGATTAAAAATTAAACACTTTGTAAAAATGTTAAAAATTAAACAGAAAAAACAATTAATATCCTGCTGTGCCTTCACAGAGAAATCTGTTTTTCCAATGATTAATAATAAAGCTTTACAAAGAATTAACAATAATCTTTTACGTTATAATTAATTAGTACATGCTTGTTCTTGTTTAAACTAAGTTCTAACAAATGGAAATACATTTATAAAATAATCCCTTAATTATTTATCTTTTAGGCAAATGATGTTCTAATTTCTTGTAATTCAATTAGATACTGCTTGGGCAGTGTTTTGATTTAGTAACACGTTTCCATACATTTAGGAAAACATTTAAGAAAAGAAATTGATCAAATGTCCCAATTCAATTCTGATAATTTGGCTGAAGCTTATTTTTCTCAATGAGTCTAAATACAGAAGTATGTGTGTGCGCTCCTAAGAACAAGAATCACCTTTCCCAAAATGCTCAAGGTATATAACAGCTGCTACTTTACCTGATGTGATGGTCATGTTTACATGAGGGATATGTTATGTATCTCAAACAAACTGGAGTTTGACCTGAGACTCTGCAGCATGCCCAAGGCCACCCAGACTGGCTCTATTTGCAGGAGGCACAGTGAGGAAACTGAACTCCCAGTCTCTGGCTCCACAAGCAGATACCCAAACCACTGAGCCAGCTGCCACCCAGAAGAAGGGAATGGTGAATCACTTCTGAGTACTCTTTACTTAGTAAACCCTGAAAAGGGTTGTCAGAAGTCACAATTCATTCTTCCCATATCTTCTGAACGCTTACCTAAGTCTTCCCTACTACTATATGAATCTATTGGCCAGTATCCTGCCCAAATTACAGCATGTACAATAGTCATTGTAAAATTAGATGCACCTCACTAGTGAGGTGCTGGTCACACATGGCAAGGGTCAGACATGTCACCAATTATCCACAATTGCTTCTATGATTGCTGCAGCACGCCCAGTAGTTTACAATATGATCCTGGCTATTGTTTCATCTACTTTTCCTTTGGTGTCTCTTTTGTTTATGAAGACATTAAGGCAATTAAATGCTCATCTATTTTTCCTTTGGCGTCTTAACCAAGGTCTCAATTTCTCTCTTCTGTTTATGAAGACATTAAGGCAATTAAATGTTCAAGGAGTGACAGGGCAATCTGCTATTTCTAGTGGTTTCTGCCTCTCCTGAGCCTTGAAGTAAAGAAATAATCAACAGTGATGATGACAGGAAACTCCTCCCACAGGACAACAAAGATGCTTCTAGCACTGTACAAACCAACAAATTTACTGTGGCATAGAAGTGGGAGTAAAGAAAAAAAAACATAATAGATTTCTGTAGAAGGAAATATTGTTTATTGATCTTCTTTCCAAGACTTAAAATCAGATTCCTGCTCGGCCATGCTCCGGTGCAAATTAAGCCCTATAAAAGAATGCGAACAAAGAATAGCGCCTGCTTAAGTCAGGGGAACTGGAGAGTTTGAGAAAAAAGTACTTTTTTAAAAGAGTCTGAGGGTTTTATTAACTGTGCACATTATACTTCCAAGGGATTTAGGGACACTACGTAATTGCTAAAAAGAGAAGTGCAGGGAACTATGTTGGAAGGAGAA